GTATAACCAACCAAAATGAACCAAGAGATATTAGACACCTAAATACTCCTATTACATCCAATGAAATTGATGCAGTAATAAAGAGTCTCCCTACAAAGAAGAGCCCAGGACCTGATGGAATCACAGCCAAATTTTACCAAACCTTTAAAGAACTAATATCAATACTCCTCAAATTTTTACAAGAAATAGAAAGGGAAGAAACCCAACAAAACTCATTCTATGAAACCAGCATTACACTCACTCCAAAACCCAATAATGACATAGCCAGAAAAGAGAATTATAAACCAGTATCTTTAATGAATATAGGTGCAAAGATTCTCAACAAAATACTGACAAACAGAATTCAACAACACATTACAAAGATCACACACCATGACCAAGTCTGTTTCATTCCAGGAATAAAAGGATGGTTCAACATCCATAAATCCATAATGTAACACAGCATATAAACAGTAGCAAAGATAAAACCACATGTTTCTCTAAATAGATGCACAAAAAACCTTTGACAAAATCCAACACCCTTCTGTGATAAAAGCTCTGAAGAAACTAGGAATAGAAGGAACATTCTTCAACACAATAAAGGCTCTATATGACAAACCTAGAGCCAACATCAAACTAAGTGCAGAACAACTGAAACCATTCCCCTTGAAGTTAGGAATAAGACAGGCCTGTCACTTTCTCCATTCCTATTCAATATTGTTTGGGGATTTATAACCAAAGCAATAAGACAAGAGCACAAATAAAAGGGATTCAAATAGGGAGGGAAGTCAACTTATCCCTGTTTACAGATGACATGATCCTATACCTAAAAGACCCCAAAACCTCTACCAAAAAACTATTGGAAATCATAACCTCTTTCAGCAAAGTAGCAGGATACAAAATTAACATACAGAAATAAGTAGATTTTCTATATACCAACAACAAACTGATTGAAAAAGAAATCAGGGAAACAATTCCATTTACAACAGCCTCAAAAAAAAAAGTACTCTGGAATAAATTTAACAAAAGAAACCAAAGACCTTTTTAATAAAAACTATAAACCACTGAAGAGAGAAATTGAAGAAGTCATCAAAAGATAGAAAGACCTTCCATACTCATGGATTGGTAGAATCAACATTCTGAAAATAGCCATACTACCAAAAGCAATCTACATGTTCAATGCAATCCCTATCAAAATTCCAATCACATTCAGCACAGAAACAGAAAAAGCAATCATGAAATACATATGGAAACACAAAAGATCTTGAATAGCCAAAGCAATTCTGAGCAAATAGTCCAATACTGGAGGCATCACAATACCCAACTTCAAACTATACTACAGAGCCATAACAATAAAAACAGCACAGTGTTGGCACAAAAACAGACAGGAAGACCAATGGATCAGAATAAAACACTCAGACATAAACCCACGCAGCTGCACCCACTGATCTTCAAAAAAGGAGTCCAAAACACACGATGGAGAAAAGACAGCCTCTTCAACAAATGTTGCTGTGAAAACTGGATAACCACATGTAGAAGACTGAAACTAGATCCCTATCTTTCACCTTGTACCAAAATTAACTCAAAGTGGATCAAAGACCTTAATATAAGGCCTGAAACTTTGAAACAACTCCAAGAAGCAGTAGGAAATACACTGGAACAGATAGGTATAGGGAATTACTTCCTAAATAGAACTCAAAAGGCTCAGTATCTAAGAGAAAGAACGAACAAATGGGACTACATCAACCTAAAGAGCTTCTGCACAGCAAAGGAAACAGTCACAAGACTCAAGAGACAACCCACAGAATGGGAAAAAATCTTTACCAGCTACTCATCTGATAAGGGACTAAAAGCCAGAATCTACAGGGAACTCAAAAAATTCGGCCTCCAAAGAATCAACCCCCCAATGAAGAAATGGGCATATGAATTAAACAGGAAATTCTCAAAGGAAGAGGTACAAATGGCCAGTAAATACCTGAAGATGTGTTCAACTTCCCTGGTTATAAAAGAGATGCAAATCAAAACAACACTTAGATTTCATCTCACCCCAGTTAGAATGGCCAGAATCAAAGGTAATAACAACAACAAATGCTGGGGCGGGGGGTGAAACAGGAACTTTTATACACTGCTGATGGGAATGCAAAATATTTCAACCACTGTGGAAAGCAGTATGGAGATTCCTCAAAAAACTAGCGATAGAACTGCCATATGATCCAGTGATACTGCTCCTGGGCATCTACCCAAAGGAAGGTAAGACAGGATACTGTAGAGATACCTGTACACCCATGTTTATTGCAGTACTATTTAAAATAGCCAAGTTCTGAAAACAACCCAGATGCCCTACAACCGATGAATGGATCAAGAAATTGTGGTCTATATACACAGTGGAGTATTACTCAGCCATAAGGAATAATGATGGTTTGAAGGTAAATGGATAGAATTGGAGGACATCATGTTAAATAAAGTAAACCAGGGTCAAAAAACACAAAAGCCGCATGTTTTCTCTCACACGTGGAAGATAGATCCACAGATAAACATGTACACAAAACAATCACGATCATATACAAACTCAGATGTAGAGCTGGTTTAAAATAGTGGAACTGCTTTATGTAACTTGGGGAACGAGGGAAAGAAAAAGAGAATGATAGAGCCTCAGTAAGACTGCGTAACATAAGATGTGAAGTAGAGGAGGTAAGGACGCATATTGAACGACGTTGAAAAAGGGGTGGGGGGTAAAAGGTAAGGGACAGTCACGGAAGGAGTTGAATGGACCAAAGTAAAGCACACCCACAGTTAGATACATTGAGACACCCCTTTGAACATCAATGTAAATATTAATAAAGAAAACCAGGACTGTAAAATAGGTACAGTCGGGGGGAATACTAGTGGGAGAGAGGAGGGTGAATGAAGGAGATTAAAGTGAGGGTAGATGGTAGATGGACTTCATATACCTATTTGAAATAGAACTCAGAAACCTCTTGCAATTGCTTGAAGTCAGGTGGGGAGGAGGCTGAGGGAAAGAGATGATGGGGCAATGTAATTAATGTATAATATAAATCTAATTGGAATTGTCACTATGAATCTGTCTCCCTGTATAATGATTATATCTTAATAAAAATGTATAAAAAACTTGTAGGTATGTACTGCTATGCCTTACCAGTGACAGGAGGGGGAAAACTCTCCTTTAGATCCTAATTGCCCATTATTACTATTAGAAACCCAAGATGATTTTTCTCAACATATATTTATTGAGCACTTACTCTGTGTCTGGTTCTGTGTAATGTCTTGGAAGTAAAAGACATGAATAAGGCACAGCTTCTTACTTCATGGGAATCACAAGTGAGAGTTACTTTCCTGGTGTTACCCCAAGCAAAGGTTACATTAAAACATTAGTTTTGATATAAGCCAGAATGTGATATGTACTAAAAAGCTAGGATTCACACAGGGCAGGACTAGGGATCAAGACAGCTAAGGAAAAAGATAGAGGCAAATTGACTTGTCTGACAAGAAGACTGGAAGAACTGAGGTAGGCCAAGATAGCAGAACTTAACATATTTTCTGAATATGACAGTTCTGAGAAGTATATCAGCCAGGGTCTCTTTGTAGCTGACTGGTGCATGCACGAGGCTGTCTGACTTCCTGATGGCAAAAATCTATCTCTGCAAATTATCTCTTTATAATTCACAATTTTTCAATAAATATAACTTGTTATTAATTATATAAGTAAAGGATGTTCATTAAAATATAAACAGAGCAACATATACAAGATGTGAAACCAAGTAAAACTCACTTGCAATCCTACCACCACTTTTGTGCCTAAACATTCATATATTCATTTATGTAAATAAAATATACCCTTCAATGGAAATGGATTTATTCATATATTATGTACATATGCATAAACCCAGAGATCTTTCCATACAATATTTATTTTCTTTCCTCTCTCCAGAAATCTAATATTAATAACCTAATATATATTCTTCTAATCATTTGTATATTTCTTCATAATTTTCTTTATATATTCTTTTTTCTTTTATAGGTTTCCAGTTATTTGATTTAAAATACAAGGATCAAATTATGTAGAGAGCTTTACACTTACTTTTCTCATGGATAGTTTCTAATGAGCAGTGCTTCTCAAACTTTGAAAGTATTAGGATTCATTTGGAAATCTTGATAAAAATGCAAATTCTAATTCAGTAGCTCTTGGAAGAGTCTCATGATTCTGTATATCTGACAAGCTCCCAGATGATGATAGCATTGTTCCTGAGTGCTATGGGTATAGAGATCTGTTTGAATCTTTAGAAAGTTTTATTCATACTGTATTCTCCATTTAACAGCTCCTCACTATTAGAGACTTTCCCTTTGTTTTCACAGTTTTGCTGACACAAAAACTAGAGCGGCCTTTCTTTCATCTCATTTCTGGTGTTTTTAAGTCACCTATTTCTTACTTCTAAATATTCCAGGGCTCAGTGACCCTGGGCCAGTACCATCATTTTAACATGTGTTTACTGCCAGTCTACCAACCGCTGTATGTGGTTGCCAGTACTTAAGACTCATCATGAAATAACTGTACAGGAATGGTTGCATCCTAGTCATTTGGACCCTCCACTACCATCCACAATTGGTAAGCATCCCTAATATCTAGGACGTCTGAGTTAGTACGTACAGAAACTTCATGTTTTGATATTTATTATGTTGGGGTATTATACGCTTACAATGCCTTGGAATGAAAATTCTATTTTTAAATTTTTGCATCTGATCTATTAAATTCTTATATATATTCAGTCATTTCTAATGATAAAGTGTTCATTTTTATGCCATGCCTGAGTACAATTTTCTTTTACTGGATTCCTTGAACGTTTATCATGGAGAATTGCTGTTCTAAAAATGTGACATGCAGAAAAGCAGTTATGGACTTGGCACTCCCAGTATTTTATGCTAACGCCTTGTGGGTGTCCTTCGGAACAGATTACATACACCCACAGACGGAAATACGAACCACTAACGATCTTGTTTAACAGGTTCAAAACATGTCTCAGTCTATCGAAGTCTTAAACTTGAGAACGCAGAGAGATTTCCAATATGTCTTAAAAATGGAAACCCAAATGAAGGAGCTAAAGGCCAAGTTTCGGCAGATTGAAGATGATCGCAAGACACTCATGACCAAGCATTTTCAAGTGAGTTTGGCTTCCGCCACCTTGTCAATCCAGATGACACACTGCATGCAGTAGACTTCCAGTATAGCGATGACGGTGCCTTGGCCCATGTGCCGATGTAAAGACTCACTGGGGACTCAGTCATTTCTGCAGGAACCTGATCATTCGCTGGGAGGAGCACATAGCAGACTGCTAAAAAAAGGGCTTCATCCTCCTGAGTGAGGTGGAGCTTCCAGAGAGATTTATGGTACTCCAATATCTAAGACAAGGGGGAAATCACAAGGAGAATTAATAATTAAATTACTAAAGCTTTTATAATGATTTTAGGTTCTGCTGGTGTGAGCAGAAAAGTAGAAAACATAAATTATTAAAAGTAGCAATAATACCATTAATAAAAGCATATTAAAAGAAGATTATTTCATAATTTTATACAGATAAACTATTTTTTTAAGATTTTAAGTGGTTTGTTGGCAATTATCTAGAAAATGGAAAAAAGTGTTTTAAGTTTGTGGTGGACTTTTATTAACTATATATGACAGCTATTAATTTAAAAAAACCTATGGGTCTGAGAATACCACTTGAGTCTCTATTGAAATGTCCTGCCTTAAAGGACATAGCATACAGTTTATAAAACACATCATCGTTGTCCACATACTAGCCTCTGTTTTCCCTGACAATTAGGAAGTTAGTTGACCCCAATATTGGGGAATGGACCTGAAGTACATGGTCAAGGAAAGAAATGGTTTTTGAACATACTGGAGAGAGGTAAGGAGCCAGTCAGAGATATGCGACAGCCCCTGCAAGGTACATCTTAATGTGGCAGAAATTGCCACGGTTTGCAATTTCTATCTGTGGTCTCAGGAGTTTGAATACAGAGGTGTAGATGACCGAGATTAACACTGAATCAGCTTCCAAGCTTTATAGATCACAACAGAAGGGGAAAATAAAAGGGCAATAAAGTTGAGTGTATTGACAAGAAAGAAGGTTGAAGTGATAAACTGTGGAGTTTCAATTGAAGGAGATGAGAACAAAGCCAGAGGGGTAAGAAATTAGAACACATTGCACCTAGAAGACTCAATAAGTGTAAAGATGACAGGAAATGTGAGCCTAGTGCCTCATTATAGGCTCTCCACTGTAATCCCAGTTACTCTCCTCAGGAAGCAGAGATTAGCCCAGAGAAAATGTTAGTGAGGCTGCATTGCAACCAAAAGGCTTGGCAACGTTGCTCATGCCTGTCATCCCAGCTACACAGGACGCCATAGGTAAGAAGGCAGTGATCTGATGCCAGTTCCGGGCAAAAAAATAACCTAAAAAAGCAAACAGAGTTGGAGGTATGGCTCAAGTGGTAGAGTGCCTGCCTAATAAGTGCAAGGTTCTGAATTCAAACCCCAGGACCTCCTGACACACAAAGACTGAGTAATTTTTCCAGGGTCATATAGCTAACATGTATTAGAATGAATATACAAACCCACAAGTTCAGCTCCAGACTTGTGGCTTTCAATACTGATACTACATTACCTCTGCAAGTAGACTTTAAAATTTAAAAAGCACAATAATAATTAGATGTTCAGCATATGTTTGTTGAATTTATTTATTCTGTAAGTTCCATCATGAATCAGATTTTGCTACAGGTGCTGAGGTACCATACATGAAAACAAGAAAATCAACATTCCCAAAACAAGTTTAACTTTGATAACTGCTTTTTTTAAAAATCATCTTCTGATGCTTGATTTTCATCTTATATCACATAAGGCTGTCCACATAAAATACTTAAGCCAGTCATCCCACTTGAGATTACCATTCGTACAAGAAGAGATTGCCATTTGCAAGATACTCTGTCTACTGTCAGAGCAACACAGGGGAAAGTGAAATTTGAGAAGTGATTAGCAAACACTATATTTGATTTGTGCATTGGTTGGACAAACCACTGTTCTCTGACAATTTCCAGACTTTCAAACTTCATTGTTAAAATCTAATTATGAATTTTTAAAAAGATTTTTAAAAACTTACTTTTTAACGCAGCAAAGGAAACAAAGCTATCAATATTTTGACATTGAATTGCTCTTTTAAATATGGTAGAATATAAAACTTTTCATTGTTAACAGTTATAATAAGCAGCAAATGGTAGCACCAGAACTTTTATATTAAAATCCTAATGAAACAATTGTGTCTCCCTTTAGGGGTGCCACAAAATGCTCAAACTAATAAGTTTATTCCAAAATGAGTCACAGAAATGAGCAATTCTCTGCAGTTCTGCCTCTTGACTGTGATAGCAATGAATCTTTCTCATTACTAAGTTTCCTTACCCTCCTGCTGAACATGCATGTGTAGATGAATTCAAAGATTTCTGAATTTATAAAGCAAGTCAAAATTTCCCCTAAGCAACACAAACTCATCAATCAGGGTAGCAATGGGAGCCGCTGCTATTTTCATACATTTATAGTGATAACATCTTCTAAATGCAATTTAAAAGTGCAATTTGCAGTTCCTTAAATTAGTGTACAATATGGTTTCTGACAGCACGTATGGATTATTCTCTAATGATCAGAAGAGCAGTAAGTCATTCCACAAGTGATGGCATCTGCACTAAATTCACAGTTAAATCAAATGCTTGAAATATCTTTGTTGACCACTACTGAGTTAAAAGGAAAAAATATGTGTGTGACATTAAGTTGGTACTTAGTTCTGTGATGTCTAGAAGCCAGGGACCTACTTTGACAAGATGTACTTCTTGTCCCCTTGACAAAAATCAACATCTAAGTTTCAAACCATTCTGTGTAATTGACTTGTATGTTACATAAACTATACATCTTGGTCCCTTAAAGAGTTAATACACCAAATGGCTAAGTCATTCTTCCTTCATAACAACTTCTAAATTACCTATGCTAAGACAAATGCAATCAGAGCACAAGTAGTAATCAAAATAGTAAACAGAAACAAACATTTATTTGAGCTTTGGGAAGCTGTGAATGATTTATTATACTTGCTCAACTCAGCTTCCGAATTAAGTTGGACTAAGATGGATATTAAAAAGAGCTAGCAGCCAGGCACCGGTGGATCACGCCTATAATCCTAGTTACTCAGGAGGATCGCAGTTCGAAGCCAGCCTGGAAAAATAGTGTGCAAGGCCCTATCTCAAAAAAAAACCCATCACAAAAAAGGGCTGGTGGATTGGCTCAAAGTATAGGCCCTGAGTTCAAGCCCCATATTGCAAAAAAAAAAGACCTTGGAATAGCCAACCACAATGAAGGACAAAGGAGTAAGTGGCCATGATTAGGAAACATCTCAGTGTGAGGGAAAAGCTGATCCAGAATCCAAAATTTCCTTCATGTAGTCCTATAACCAGGATATTCAATAGATGGAAAATTACTCTTAAATAAACAGTCATAGATTTGTGTGACCTGTTTCCAATCACTTTATTTGATACATAGTAAGAGAATGGGATCCTGTTTCTATTTTCTAATTAGATAACACATTGTTCATTTTATAAAATGCTAACAGAAAATGAGATAACACAAAAGCTCATAATTGTTACTATGGGAAGGTTTTCTAACTATGATAAGGATCAGTTTGTTTTATAGTAAAGCATATAACCATTTACAGAAAAGTTATTATATAGAAAAGGTGAGATGCATGGCTTGATTGTGGATGATGATGATGCAAGGACTTACAGTTTCACCAAGAATCATTGAAGAATTTTGGGACTGTTTTAATAGCCTCTTCTACGTAGCACAGTAAAAAGAACATAGCTGATCTGAATTAAATGAGTCTTCTTGTTTTCTACAGGAATTGAAAGAGAAGATGGATGAACTCCTGCCCTTGATCCCTGTGCTGGAACAGTACAAAACAGACGCCAAGCTGATCACCCAGTTCAAGGAGGAAATCCGGAACCTGTCTGCTGTCCTCACCGGAATTCAGGAGGAAATTGGTGCCTATGACTATGAGGAACTGCATCAAAGAGTGCTCAGCTTGGAAACCAGACTGCGTGACTGCATGAAAAAGCTAAGTGAGTGGCTATTTGTCTAAGTTGTGTTTTTAGGTAGCTTCAGTGAAAACTGCATCCTTACCTTTTGCAAGGAGTCAGAAACTACCCAGTTCTAGGGGAATCAATTCAACACATCCCTTAATGACCGAAGCTTGCCTGGCCACTCGGGATACTTAAGTTTCCTGACTTTTACAGCACTTTGTTGCCATTTGGTAGCTTGAAATAAGTAGTCTGGCCAGTAGTCACCTCTAATGCCTACACTAGGGGAAATGTTTTATTTATTATTTGTTTTTAAATGTGATGGTCAATCATTGCTTGACTGGAAGAAAGGGAAGACATTTTTGGTACTGAAGAAAGTTCAAAGCACAGGAACATGAAGTAACCTTAGAACTTAGTGTGACTAGAACAAAATAAAACAACTCCTTCCCTCTGCAGAGTTGCCATCTAGCACTTCAATATACTATAAGAAATAAAAAGAAAAGACGTCTTTAAATACAGTGTCACCACTCTGCAAGGGGAAAGTATGTGAAATGTGTATGTGAAAGAACATTACGGACTCTAATTTTGGACTCCTAAAATGTGTGGTTCAACCTGGTCTTGGTTTATAAGTCTCCCTTTTCATCCATGAGCTGATTATTCAATTGAAATCAACATGAGACCAGTCTGGAACTCGAATGCAAAATTATCAAGTGGCCATGAATGGACCAAGGAGGAAACAAGTCCATTTAGGAACAACGTTTTAGTTGTTGACACGAAGTGACATGGCAGGGAGTTAAACTCAATAAGCAATGCTCAATCAAGACAATCTAGAAAAGAAAGTAAACGACAAGGGGAGTAAAATATTTGAAAACCAAAAGATATTAATTTCTAGTAAAAAAAGACTTCAGTGAATAACTATAAATGCATAAAATAAAATGTGAATGCTTACAAGAACATTTTACGATGTGGTTCGAATGATAAATGAAGAATGATAAATTTCATGTGAAATGCAGCATTCAGTGTTTACAGTCTCAAAAATGAGGGAACCAGCATGACAGAGCCCCTCTTATAGTTTTCCCAGGTTTTCTAAGAGAATCCAACAAAACCAAATCAGAGAGAAACGAGATAAATCCAAGGGCTAAATACATGTACAGGAATGTTCAGCTCCTAGTTCCTCATTAGCCAAGGTCCATACTTTTTCACATGAGTGGGCAACAATCAGTGATGGAGATCATGGCTCCAGCTCTTATTCTTCTGCAAGTCACTGTACCTGTCTTTGCAAGCACAGTTTTGTGAAGTACAGATTTAAAATTATTTTGCTCTGCTGAAAAGCTCCTGTGTCCTGGCTCACACTCTATGGCTTGTGAGGCCCTTTGAGGGCAGCCCACCCCACCTCCCTATACTTAGGTTTTGCCCTTTCTTCCCTCACACACTGTGTCCCAGCCACGTGGTCTCATGGAGTGCTTCCTGCTCCCAAAACACTCTGCCTCCTGTGGACCCCTTCTTTCTCAACTCACTTTCATCTATCACGTGTGACATACTCCTAAGTAGCCTTCCTATCTCAGGTTACATGTTCTGTCTTCCCAGAATCCTTCATTGCCTTCCTAACTATCCCTGCTATATGCTCCTAGGGCCTGATATTTCACTGAAGATTGAACTTTTTATGTTTCATCATCGTTGCAGGTGTAATAGAATGATTTTTATACTTTTGTTCCATGAAGAACATTGTCTATCATGTTCCCTCTACTTGCAGAGAAAGTTTATTCTATAAATATTTGCTGAATAAATTATTTAAGGAACCTTAGGAATTATTTCTAAACTTTTCAACAGAAAATTAGTTATTTTACATGGCAAAGAATGATCTATTTTACTTGTTAAAAGGAAGGGGGGTACGGTGGCTCAAGACTGTAATCCCAGCTCCCAGAAAGCAGAGGTTGGGAGGATTTCTGTTCAAGGCTAGCCTGAATAAAAAGTTAATGAAAACCCCACCTCAATCAACAAGCCATGTGTAGTGGCACAGCCCTCTAATCCCAGCTCTGGGAGCATAAGTAGAAGAATCACAGTTTGAGACCAGCCTCACTCTAAAAAATAACTAAAGCAAAAAAGACCTTATTCAAAAAATAACTAAAGAAAGAGCTGGTGCAGTGACTGAAGCAGGGGGTAGATGCTCACCTACCAAGCAAGGGATAGGGAAGACAATACAGGTGTGATGGCAGAAGTCTATAATCTCAGTTACTTAGAAAGCAGAAACAGGAAGGCCCCAAATTTTTTTAAGATCCTCCTTTTAGCTGCATAATATTTAAGTTAAAAATGGCATAGTTGTGACAAGATTACTAAACATGAGAAAACACACTTGACATGACACTTACAAAGCTCTTAGATGCCTCCAGTTGTAGAGTTTATGATTATTACTACAGTAAACAAACAATATTGAGACAAAGAAAATCCACTGTTATGTTTCATTCTTTTTTAATCAAGAAATGTCTTTTGTTGTTGTTGTTGTTATCTTTTTTTTTAATTTTTATTTTATTCATATGTGCATACAATGTTTGGGTCAATTCTTCCCCCTTCCCCCCGTCCCTTCCCTTAACCACCCCATCAGCCCCTCAACCCCCTCACTTCCAGGCAGAAACTATTTTGCTCTTATCTCTAATTTTGTTGAAGAGAGAGTATAAGCCATAATAGGAAGAAACAAGGGTTTTTGCTAGTTAAGATAAGGATAACTATACAGGAAGTTGATTCACATTGATTTCCTGTGCATGTGTGTTACCTTCTAGGTTAATTCTTCTTGAACTAACCTTTTCTCTAGTTCCTGGTCCCCTTCTCCTATTGGCCTCAGTTGCTTTAAAGTATCTGCTTTAGTTTCTCTGCGTTGAAGGCAACAAATGCTATCTAGTTTTTTGGGTGTCTTACCTATCCTTATACCTTACTTGTGTGCTCTTGCTTTATCATGTGATCAAAGTTCAATCCCCTTGTTGTGTTTGCCCTTGATCTAATGTCCACATATGAGGGAGAACATATGATTTTTGGTCTTTTGGGCCAGGCTAACCTCACTCCGAATGATGTTCTCCAATTCCATCCATTTACCTGTGAATTATAACAATTCGTTCTTCTTCGTGGCTGCATAAAATTCCATTGTGTACAAATACCACATTTTCTTAATCCATTCATCAGTGGTGGGGCATCTTGGCTGTTTCCATAACTTGGCTATTGTGAATAGTGCTGCAATAAACATGGGTGTGCAGGTGCCTCTGGAGTAACCTGTGTCACAGTCTTTTGGGTATATCCCCAAGAGTGGTATTGCTGGATCAAATGGTAGATCAATGTTTAGCTTTTTAAGTAGCCTCCAAATTTTTTCCAGAGTGGTTGTACTAGTTTACATTCCCACCAACAGTGTAAGAGGGTTCCTTTTTCCCCACATCCTCGCCAACACCTGTTGTTTAGTTCAATGTCCAGAATAATTACCAAATGATGTGTCCCCAGAAAAAGAATAAAAATCTCAAACCACATTTACTTAGTACACAATGTCAAATTTCTTTGGCAGTTACAAAGAAGCTTCCAAATGCATATTTTATCATAAAATATCCAATTGAGAATATTCTGCTAAATGACAGTATATAGGATGGGTCTGTGTAGGACTTTTCTTGTTTTGGATGAGATCCATATGTTCCAGAGGAACCTTTCCAGACCCTGAGAATGAAGTGGCCCCTTTGTTCCTAGTGTCTCACAGCTCACATAGGCATTGCTTGTGGAAGCCAGTCCCTCTAACTATAAATGGATCTGCTACACAAAGACAGACAATATTAGCTCAGGCTAACAACCCCTTGCACCTGAAGGCGTGTCAGTTATATTTTTGAACAATTAACTTGGAAAACTCAGGATTTGCCAATTTTAGAAATGAGCTTCACTGCTACATGTATTGTGTCTGTGTTCCCTGAGCTGGGAATAGTCTCAATTGCAGCCGGATAATTTTACACTACACACCCTCAGCACTTTCATGACACACAGCCTCTTTCATCCAGTCTTCACATACCTCGCTACAATCAACCTCCTCCGATGCTGAACATTGTATTTGAATCAAACAAGGTCAATCTAAATGAGTGTAAATTCATCCTTTTTTTGGTAGTGTTGGGAGTTGAATTCAGGGCCTCACACTTGCTGGCAGATCCTTTTTCTTATTATGAAATTATGGATAATATTTCAATGGTGTCCTTAGGCCTTAGGATTTGATCTATAATATATATTTATATGTGTGTACAATTACAATATATCTATATATAATATTCTATAATATATGTTATATATTTTCACAATTTTATTCATTTTCTCATGTACCACAAGATTTGAAAGACTATGACAAACTCCATTAATTAATACTTGTTTTATTTCATTATTTTATTTTCCTTATTTTAATGTATTTATTTTTCAATGCTGGGGATTGAACCCAGGGCCCTGTAAATATTTATTTTAACTAACTTAAAGCATATACTCTAGCAGCCAATATAATAAAAATATCAATTGATAATACAATTGGTATTCTCTTTTTTAATTTAATGAGATGGTTGTTTTTTGTTAATTGAGATGTCTGTATACAGTAGTCTCTCAATATCTGAGGGAACTGTTTCTAGGACCCTCACAGATAACCAAATCCACCCTTTATACACAAAGGGCATTCCCATATTTATTATATTATTGTAAATTACTTATAAAATATAACATACTGTGATTGACACATAAATAGTTGTTATACTATATTATTTTGGTTATCATAACAAGAAAATGTAGTGTATGTAGTTCAGTATGGATGAAATTTTTTCAGATATTTGTGATTCATGGTGGGTTGAATCTGAAGAATGCTCTCTGCTCCCTGTTCACTTAGCAGGGAGGCCAGTGCCACAAACAATGAATCCAAATCTTTTATGGTCTCAGAAACTAGGTAATTGCCCATTCTATCAGGTTTATGTTGGTGAACCACTTACTGACTGTCTCTGAGCAGAAAGGATATTTATCGACTGCACCACACCCCTTGATAACCATGGAGA